GCTGACTGATGTGGTATTTTATGTGGCAATACCACCTCTTGCAGCCTAGAGACAGACCAATATTATTTGTCAAACAGAGCTGCTATTCATCATTTAAATTATCCATCTGTAATAATGTTTTGCATTATTTTTGCAGATCCATATCTGGCTGAATAGTATCTGTCAACATTTATTCAAAGAAGAAGGGATTCATCAAACGGGAGCTTGATTTCCTTGAAAATATTGGAAATTCTGCCACTTCCAGGAGGAGATGGAGGAACCCAAAGACATTTTATTGTAATTTATTTCTTACTGGTATAAAGGTATGGAGTGATTGATTGCAACATCAAAATCTCCAAGAACAGTTCTCAAAACCATGAAAATATAAAGTGGTGCCCAGTGATGTGTCCACAGCATGGCTACAATGCCAACAATTTTAACTATTTTCAATATTGAAAATATCACCACATTGAGGAATCTCGAAGCCTTGACATTTCTTAAAATTCCCTCTGAAAAAATGACACTTTCTAGGCCTCACACGAGGAAAACACTTCAGGTTTTCCCTCAGTGACCAACACGGAGCCTCCTGCTCCTTCAGCTCTGAGAACTCATCAGGAAATGACACTTGGAAAGTCATTTCACTGTGAAAATTCAGGATAAATTGCATGGAGCTGCTTGCACAGGAGACTGATGTAGTTTGTGCTACTTGATCACTGTTTCATCAGTGATCTGCTGAAGGGCTGGAGATTATTTTTATTAAATTTGCAGATTTGCTGGGCAGCTGGAGAGAACTGAGAGGGGGATTCAAATTCCAAACAACCTTGACAAATGAGAGCAGCAATAATCTATAATTCAGCAAGCAGAGGGAGGAAAAAATCTGGATGTTCAGCAGGAGCTGCCAGCTTCACAAGCACTGGCTGAGGAACATATTTTTTGCAGAAAAAGCCCAGAAGTTTGAGCAGCTTGCAAAGTGACAGCAGCTCCCACCGTGGTGCTGCTGCAATAAAAAGGAATTTCCCTCGGGGAGATTCCAGACAGCAGCAAAACACTGAAATCAGAGAGCTCAGCACTGACAGGATCCTGCTGGAATGGGGGGCAGGATTTCCATGAAAAAAAGCTAGATGAGTCCAGCTCAGGATAGTGAGAGTAAGCAGAGCTTTGGAAAAATGGGATTTCCAAGGGAAGGATTGGGATTTCACAGCCTGGGACAGGCACAGGTTCATAAGGGAGGGAGCAGGAGGCTCCCTCTGTGGTGGGGTAAGGACAAATAGGAGAGAAAATTACAAAAGAGAGAATTTACATTACAGCAAAAGAGAGAAATTACAGCAAAAGAGGGAAATTACATTACAGCAAAAGAGAGAAATTAATTACAGCAAAAGAGAGAAATTAATTACAGCAAAAGAGGTTCTGCTGAGATGTTTAGAAAATATAAGGATAACACTGAGCCATTCCAAGGAAAATTATGGAGTCTCCCACCACTGCACATCCTTAAGAAGAATTAAACAAATGCCCTGGCCCATATCTAACCTTGTTTTGCACTTTAATTCTGTGCAAGCCTGCAAAGAACTGAAGGCTCCACTGCTTTTCCAGGGAAAGGGGCAGGCAGAGATTTAAAAATGTTGGAAAACTCCATCCAACCTGCAAGCCTTTATTTCCAAGGCAGAGATATTCCTTGGAAATCTCCTTCAGGCATCATTGTTGTGTGTCAGAACCAGCCTCAGCATCACCACAGGCCTGAATAGTTTAAATTAGACTTGATTTCAGAACAATACTTCACTGTGAATTTACCCAGATTTTTGGGAACCAAGGGACAGTTTAAATGCTCTGCTGCAAAATGGACTGAAATAGAATAAAGGAGGTGCCTCATACAGGAGCATTTCAGTTTGCTACTAAAATAATAACACTCTGTGCCCTTAGTGATGGCAATTAAAATGATCCACAGTGATAAGAAGTATCAAGGATTATCATATTTGCTTATTAATGTGAGAGTCAAATTAATTTTGTGAGGAAACAAAGATTGCTGGGTTCCTTTACAGCCACATCTAATTTTTTAGGAGAAAAACATGCATCCTTCTGCTCACAACCTCACCCTGTGCCCTCATGTCTTGTAACAGAAAGATTTGTTCTAAATGGAATGCTAAAATTGCTAAATGCTGAACAAGAGGTCTCATCCTGCTGGAGGTTTATTAAATCACATTAACACCTGCTAAGCAAAAGGTACGAAGTGTGGCAGAGAGAGAGCAGCACTGATTTCATGCACGTGCAACTGAGGATCCAGGGGCTCCACCAGTTTCCTGTTAATTAGCTGGAACATTTAATGAACAACCCCTTCATTATGCACTAATCAAAACATGGACTAAGAGCTTGGAAAAAAAAACCCCAACGAGCTTCCATCTGCTGATGTATCATTTCTGACCTGGCTTTTCCTTTCCAGGATTCTGGGTTGTTGTTAAATCATCCCAGCAAAACCTTGAGGTAAATTTCTCCTTGTCCATCTCCTCCTGAACTCTGACAGGTTCAGCAGGATGTGATCCTTGTCTCTGTACATGGTTTTGTTCTGTTCTTTCTCAATACTTTAAAAATACACTATTTTTTTTTCAAATGGGCAGATTCCTCAGGATCAGCTACCTGGAAATCTATTTAAGCTGGGTCTTAAAGTCAGAAAATCATTTCTGTTCAGAAAAAAAAAAGGCTTGGGGACATTCATTGTGCTCCCAGGAGAATGAATATTGGGAATATTCATTCTGCCACTTCCAGAAGGAGATGGAGGAACCCAAAGACATTTTATTGTAATTTATTTCTTACTGGTATATAAAAATACATTTTATTGTAATTTATTTCTTACTGGTATAAAGGTGTGATTGACTGTAACAACGTCAAAATCTCCAAGGAATTTTGGCAATATTGAGAAAGGAACAGGGAGCTCCAAATGGCTCAGGAGCAGGAAATTTAACTTGGTGTGAGGAGGACACACCTCAGGATGTGCTTCAGCCCTGTTCCTCAGAGCTGCTGCCAAGGCTGGGTGCACCTTCATGAACACACACCAGAAAATATGGACTCATTTGGCCTCATTTAAATAGAATTGATCCCTTGGTAAGTATACAGTGAAAATCCACTTTACACTACCTTAGAAAAGACCAGGGAAATAAAAAAAATAAAAGAAAAAAAAAGAAATAGGGAAAAAAAATCAATCATCTAAGAGAGGTGGCCTTTAAGAAAAAGTCTAATGAAAATTGTAGGGGAAATCCATGGGGATAAAGTGCTTTAAAGCAGTTGATTAAAGAAAAGCAGGGTGGAAAAGCAAAAGGGTCTGACCTTGCAGCACGATCTTAGCAGCTCTCAGATGAAAAGCCTCAGGAAGACATAAAGTCTGCTTTTAAAAGGAGCTCACAAGAAGTTTCAAACTGGTTTTTCTCTGTGGGTGTTTTGTCTTTGTGGGTGTTTTCGTGCTCCTGCAAGCCCAGCTCTGTGCATGTGCTTTCCTGGGGGTGAAGCCAGTGACAAGTGGCACCACCTGGCCGTGGTTTCCTGCTTGCTCTCCTCAGTAAAGCCCTCTCTGGAGGCAAACATTTGATTATTTCCACACCTGTGCTGCCCCTGAGCCCCCAGCAGAGCAAGGGGGACGATGAGAGATCCCTGAGCTGCCCGAGTGTCTGTGCCAGCCAGAAACACCCAGGTCAGCAGGGAGAGGGGAAAAAACCCTGCAGGGCTGGGCTTGTGCCCTCCCAACCCCAGCAGCTGCTCCAAAGGGATGGCAGCACCTCAGCATCTCCTCCAGCAGTGCCAGATGGGAGCTGCAATTTTATGGCACTTCAGGTGGAGCAATTGATGTGTGGCAAGCTCAAGAATTCAGTGTTTGGACCACCCATCCGTGCCCTTCTGATTTTCTCCTCTGCCTCTGCTCAGAGGAGAAGAACTTTCAAAATGTGCAAGGGCAGCCCCTGCCCTTTTCCCTGTGGCAAACCAGAAAGCCATAAAGAGGTTTTGTTTTCCTCCTCGTCTGTGTGATTGCTCTGGGGTTTGCCAGAGCCTGGCCTGGCAAATCTCTCACTTGGAGAACCAAGAGGAGCCAAGCAAGCAGGGCTGGATCCACCCAGCCCTCACCCCTGGCCAGCCAGGAGAGCTCAGAGCCTGCACACAACACAATCCTTCTTTTCCTGGTTCCTCTTTTACCGATTCATCTTTCCCTCTGCCAATCCCCTCTTTTCCCAGATTCCTCTTTGCATGGATTCCTCTTTTCCCTGACTGCTCTTCTCCCTGATTCCTCTTTTCTTCTGTCCCTCTGCCAATCCCCTCTTTTCCTGGATTCCTCTTTTCCCTGCCTGCTCTTCTCCCTGATTCCTCTTTTCCTGGATTGCTCTTTTCCTTAGTTGCCAATCCCCTCTTTTCCCTGATTCCTCTTTTCCCTGACTGCTTTTCTCCCTGGCTCCTCTTTCCCTCTGCCAATCCCATCAGCTGTCCCAGGCACAGAGGAGCTTCCCACGACTCAATACTCCCAAATATTGAAACAAGCAGACTGCTCCAGGTCTCTGTGTGTGGCAGGCACTCAGACAAACCCACAGTGCTGCAAGCTGATGTATGTTCAATCCTGGCATATCAATCACCTCCGATTTCACTAGGATTATCAAAAGACTGCTTTTGCCTATAATATAAAGCACTTTTTCTCCCCTCCAATTACCTTATGGAAATTTTTAGCACAGATAATATAAAGTGTTAATAAATCCTCTCTAGCATGGCAGGAGAAAGACTGATTTTCTCTCCTTGTATCAGGAAAAGTTTGCACATTTCAACTTTCTCAAGAATAAAGCACAGAAAAATATTGTCTCCTGCACACCTTCTGCAAACACTCTGGGATATATTAGAGCAGTCTGAGCTCATATCACATAATAGTCCATTACACCAAAACCTACTGCAAATCCCTTGCCAATAAAGCACAAAGTCATCCCCAGTTTCTGACAAACCATCTCAGCTACACACAACAAGCAGCACTTCCACACCAGCCATAACACTTAGTGCTTTACCTGTGAAAAAGTGTCTGCTGTTCTTGTATTATCCATGTCTGGGGAAATTCTATTTGTTTCATCAGTATCCTACAGGGTGCCAAAGAGCAGTTTATTCATGAATCACACCTGCTTCTCCACAGCATGCTGCTCCTCTCTCTCTCTGCCTCTCTCTCTTATGAAATCTTGCAGCCAATGGCTTTTATTAAGTGTTACTTCCTTTTATGCTGAGAACTGAAAGAAACAATAATGATGCTTTGCTTCCTTATGGCAGCTCTGTGGAAAGACTAAAAAAATGTAGAAGTTGTTTGTTTGCTTTTCCTGAACTGATATTTATGTTCCAGAGCCTTCCTGGAATCACTGAGCCCTGAACACTGAAATGGTGATTTATTACTATTTGTTATGATTGATTACATTGCATCTGTCTGAACACCCAACATATGTCGGTTCCCACATAAATTCCATGCTAAATGTGAGGGAGTTTGCCTGAGGAGCCACAAACACAATGCTGAGTGTTCCCAGCAGTGTTTTTGTGCACAGCAGCAATTCTAACACATCTCCAAACTCCAGCATGGGCAGCTGCACATTGGGGGGAGCACCTGCAGCTTAATGCACAAGCTCCTTCTAAAGATAAAGAGCATTTTAAACTTTCTCTTTGCTGTCTGTACTGCTGGAGAGAATTGTGATTAGGAGAGGGAATGACCAGCAAAGCATTCCTGAAATCAAACCCCAGCCCTGACAAAAATTGTTCAGCAGCTGCAGGGAAAACACTCCTTGGTTTCCCCACCTTTCTGTGGTGACTCCTGCAACATCACAAACCCGTGTCAGAGTCAATGGTGAGGCTGAAAGTTCTGAGGAGACACAGCTGGAAGGTGAAACTCTGCACATTTTGAAAGTTCTTCTACTCCAAGCAGAGGCAGAGGAGAAAATCAAAAGCTCTGAAACGTCAATGCAAAGCAGAGTTTTTAAGAAGCAACAGGAATTGAAAACATTTGGGGTTGATGAAGGTTGAGTTCCTTCCTCTGCTGCTCTAAAAGCAGATTTTTAACAGAAACAAGGCAGGAAGCTGAGGGGTCAGGGCAGAGCAGGTGCCACTGGGTCTCTGTGAGCCCAGGGTGGGCTCTGGCTCAGCCCCCACTCTTGTGTTTGGGGGGTGCCCCGACGTTGGAAGGAAATTATGAGCCTGATTCCATGTTTCCAGAAGGCTAATTGATTATTTTATGATCTATATTGTCTTAAAGAATACTAAACTATACTAAAGAATACAGAAAGGATACAGACAGAAGGCTGAAGATACTAATGAAAAACTCATTACTCTTTCCAAAGCCGTGACACAGCTCGGCCCCAGTTGGCCAATAAGTAAAAACAATTCACATGAAACCAATGAAACAATCGCCTGTGGGTAAACAATCTCCAAACACATTCCAAAGCAGCAAAACACAGGAGAAGCAAATGAGATAGGAATTGTTTTCCTTTTTCTCTGAGGCTTCTCAGCTTCCCAGGAGAGAAATCCTGGCGAAGGGATTTTTCCAGAAAATATCACAGTGACACCCCCCCAGTACAAATCCCATCCATCAGTGCCAGAGCTCTGCAGCAAATGGGAGAGAAAGGATTAGGGATAAACTCTCCCAGATCACTCAAGGCACTGGAAATTAAATGGAAGGTCAATACATACTGATATAACCAGGGTTTATTTGAACTGATTAAAAGTAATTCTTTGATGGAGTGTTAGCTTAACACAGCCAATAATGTAACAGGGCCTGGCTTAATCCAGCTCTTCTAAAGAAATATTTAATAAAAGATTGTCTTTCAATGCCCTCAGTTCTGAGTGCTCTATGTCCAGTGTGATAGATGGAAATTTTCCACTAAACTAGAAACAGGATTCATTGGAAACACAATTCTTCGACAGCTATCTGAAGCCATTTGGTTAAAATAAAATAGCAACTAATTCACCCAGAATCCCATTTCTAGTACTGGCCTGCTCCCCTTAGAATGCTCAGCCCTTGAGGAACAACAATTTTCTTTTGAAATTAGAGAATCCCAAGGAACTTCTCTTTCCAACATGATTACAGCAGCACAGAACATTTCAGAGTGGGGAAATGACAGGTTTCCCTCACAAAGGCTCTGCAGAGATGTGAGAGGCTCCTTTCCCCTCTGCGAGGCCACAGAGGCTGGGAGCAAGCACTTAATCAGAGCAGAGCTCAATTGCTGCTCTTGGAGCAAACATTTTCAATTAATCTGAAGCCCTTAATTACACCTTCCTTGAATAAAGGCTCTGGTGGAATTTCCCTCTCTTTGCTCTCAGTGAATGGATTCCAGCACATGCCAGAACCAGGAGCTGCAGCAAATTCCCTGCTGGAACAAAGCACCCTCCAGAGGGGATGGAAACCATGGGGGAAAGGGCTTGGAACCAGCCTGGAAGAGCAAGAACTCTTTGTGCATTGTCTGAGCAGTGCACCAGGTGAAAGTTTTGGACCAGCAGTGCAAGTTTGGCTGTAGAAAAACATCAACTCTGCTCAGCCTGGCCTGGGGCACTTCCCACAGCTGCTCTGACACCTGTGCCAGGGCCTCACCACCCTCACAGGGGGACTTTTTGCTAATATCCCATCTAAACCTATTCTCTGTCAGTCTGGAGCCATTCCCTGTGTGCTGTCCCTCCATCCCTTGGAAATCCTCTCTCTCCATCTTTCCTGCAGCTCCTTCAGGCCCTGCAAGGCCACACTGAGCTCACCCCAAAGCCTCTCCAGGCTGAACTATGCCAATTCTCTCCCTAAACCCCATGGTTTTTAGGCTAAAAGGGCCGGATTCTCTCAGATTCACTCCCAGGGGTTCTGAACACCTTTTCCCAAGCTTCCTTCCAGCCACGCGGTGTGAGCATCCCCTCCAACCTCCTGCTCTCTGTTACCTCACGGTGACTTCACAGGCCACAAACCAAACTCCCTGCCTTCTCCCTGAAATTCTAAACCCCAAAGGGTTTTCCAGTCTCAGATAACCCCATGTGGACTCATTGTTTTGTGCTTTTTGTTAAAGTTAAAGGAAAAAACTCTAAATCTATGACCAGTAGGTTTTCAGTCAACCTAAATATGTGTTTAATAGGCAAAAGTCTCTTTTTCATTTCATTAAAGAACTTTCCAAAACTTTTTCATACATAAGAAATTAACATCATGAAATAAGTTATTTCAGGTTAAAAAAATGAGAGCTGAATTAATTCATTCTTTAAATAAATACAGCATGAACTTCATAAACACATTTTTGCCTCTCATTCAAGCATGAATGTTCCAGCACGGCCGGAATGCTCCCACAAAGAATTTCAGAGCTGAAAAACAAAGCCTTTCCCTGAAAACTCACTTCACCTGAAAATTACTGCCTAAACCTGTTTTATAAAAAGGGCCCTTTCTTTTTCTTTTTTTTTTTTTCCCTGTGGAAATGGTGCTGAAACAGAGAAGTCAGAGCTCCTCGTGACTTTATGGGCATTTGACCTCAGCATTCCTCTTCATTTCCCACGATGGAGATTCCAACAGGATCTGAACAAAATCCAACCAGACCCCTTAGACAGAAACCCTGTCCCAGGAGGTTTTGGTTTTTCTGTCTCCTCAGTGCTGACCTAGCACAGAAATTGATGGTACTGCAGATCCCAGCAATTGCTATTTGGCCTAATTTTGATTCTGGTTTTAAGGAAAATATTGATGCACGACAGGTTGTGCTGCACTGAACTGGAAGATGCATTAAATGCAAAGGGGGGAAAAGAAGGGAGGAGTCTAAGAACAGAAGAGGAGTAATTTAAATTTAAAACTTCTGTGAAACTAAATTCAGGTCGAGGGTGACATCTAGTGATGCTCAGCACAAATTCTGCCCATTATTGCAGCACCCTCACTCATGAGGAAAATTTAAACTTTTACCATGTTTCACCAGATGTGCCATGAAATAAATATTTTCCTATAAAATGTGAGTTTTAATTTTTTGGGGGCAATATGAGTTAATTTTTAAATTAATTCAGTATGCTGAATGCATATGGGAGGATCTATAAAAGCAAAAAAAATAAAAGTAGGGACTTGGAGGTAGAGGAAATACATGTGCTCATGACAATGAGGAAGTTGGTACACGAGGTCTTATTGATGGAAGTGTCATTTTTTGGCTTCTTTTCTTATTTTTCACTTATTTTCCAATACATCTGCAAAGCACAGTGGTGGCTTGACACATAAATAAAGCAAATCAGTAATTAGCAATGGAGCTATTAGTAATTCCCTTGATTGACAATGCACAAACTACCCAGTTGCTGAATTTTGAACAACAAAAATTTTCCCAGCAGCTTTCTGCCTTGGACAGTGGTCATGGTCAGCATCAAGGAAAGGGGCAGCCCACACATTTCCAAAAATAACAATTCTTCATCTACCTGAGCAATTTGCTTTGAGCTCCTCACTGTGTGCAGCAAACAGCGATAAAGGAGATCACAGAATCACAGAATGTCTGGGTTGAAAAAGAAATTTAAATCTCATCTCGTTCCATCCCTCGCTGTGAGACACCTTCCACTATCCCAGGCTGCTCCAAGCCCTGTCCAACCTGGACTGTGAGACACCTTTCACTATCCCAGGTTGCTCCAAGCCCTGTCCAACCTGGCCTTGAACAATTCCAGGAAAAGCCAAAGCACCAATTCATAACTTAATTAATTTTTCAACTGCTTCAAACTCATTGCATGCAGAAGTGTCACCCTCTGAATCTCCCTGGTGACCTGACCTTGTTAATTCTGATGCTGCACCCCAAAAGAAAAGTTAAAAATAAAGAAGTTAAACCCACATTGTTCCAATACCCAGAGGAAGTGACAGCTCCACAGATCTGCTCCTCTGTGACACAAGGTGGCACCAGAAACTGCCTGAATTTCAGGCTATAAAAAGTGGGTCATAAAGCAAAACCTTTGAAGAGTTTGTGGGTTTAAACGAGAGGAGGCAGAAAGCCAGGGACTCTCAGGGACTGGGGCCAGGGCACGGCAGGGGCAGGCAGCAGCTGCTGAAAGGTCTGAGACAGCAAGGAACTGGCTGTGGAATCAAAGATGGAGCTAAAGCAGTCCTGGGGGCAGCTGGATCATCTTCTGAAAGCTGGGAAACAGCAGCACCCTCTGAAGGGGCACAGAGCCAGGGTCTT